GGCCTCGGTGGCGCCTTCGGGTCGGGGCCGCTGTCCCCGCGGGGAGCGTGTGGGCCGCGGGCTCCTTGCCCCGGAAAGCGTGTGTGGGACAAGTGAAATTGTGTAAAGGTTTCTTGGAATTTTTTTTTTCAATAAGTATGTACGATTTTCATAGTACAGCTCAAAAGGGGAAAAGAAATGAGGATGAAAATCAAATGTGGGCTTCTTAGCACTATTTCTAGGGGCCCTCTAACTTGAGGTAGACTTCTTACAATTTCCAAGGAAATTCCTATTCCACTCCTAGTTTATCATAAGTAAATTGAGTGATTTCCGTGTCTGTATGATAAAACAGGAAAGACCTTTGGAAAGGAAAAGGTACTCCATTTGTGATCAGTGTCACACAAGATCACGTTCCCACCAGAAAACAAAAACATCAACATCACAAAACTAAAAATGCGTGGGAGATCAATACCATTCAAATAAATTTGCAAACTATTTCAGTCTCCCCGCCCCCCCGCAAAAGAACAATACTTCAGAAAACCCTTGTCTATTTCCAAGTGACCCAAATAGAAGAGACAGCAGGGTGCTATGCATGGTATTTCACCCCCTCCTCGGCCCTTCACTACTTAGAAAACTGCCTGCTCTCCACAGAGACTGAAAATGGACCTCATCTCTTCTGGGGTGGAAACAAAATCAGTGACACATTTGTACAATATCCCGTTTCTCAGGGACCCCGACTCTATACCTAGTTCTGTTCCAAAGCCTCTTCACACAGTTCTGGGTAAGGCCTGGGATCTGTTTCATTAAAGTGGCCATATAAAATAGGAATTTCATCTTGCTGGTTTCAGCGAGGGCCCTTGGACCCCTCAGGAACTCATATGGAGCAGGATCACCATTAGGAACCTGCTGGTACATACATCAGGTTCTTTTCCGCACTCAATTCTCAAAATGAGTACGTTCCGTCTGACCTCATGTGTCCCATCTTTGCACTTTTGTGGTTAGGACCTCCATGCTGATATGGTTGCCCTCTAGGAAGATTAGAGACAGGACCAATATAAGGATGTCAGTTTTGTTAGGGACCTGAGGCTTCCATCACAGGTTACATTTTCCTGGTGCTTCTAGGCTCTTAAAGACCTCATGCTCTTATCTCTGGTTTCCCTCCCCCCCCAAGGCCACAGTGGTCTGGAGAGGTTAAACCTGTTTCTCCAGGACCAAACACACAAAGGACAACCTGGCCTGTGATAGGTTGAAGGTAGCCCACTCCTCATAAATAAGCAATAGCCCACCCCCAAAACGATAAAAGGACCTTCCTTTCTTTGTTCTCTCTCTTTCTGTCTGCTCTCTCTTCTTCTTGCCTTTCTCCCTCTCTGCTCTCGCACCCTGAATAAAGTCTCCAGTCAGACCTCTCAGTGTGTGTGCGCGCGCGCGTGTGTGGCCTAGTTGCTGAGCGTCACTATTCCCTTTCAAATTTTGAGTGTGATTCCTTCATCATCACCATCTAGTATCCCACTGAATGTAGGACCCAAAATGGGGATGAGCTCATATGCGTTGCCAGAGAGATCCACTTTCCTGACATCAATGGCAAAGCCCAGATGCATGGAGTCACAGAGTTTCCAAAAGTTCAGAAAGAAGTCCTTATGGTAATAGTGGGGCACAACGTACAGCATTTCTTTCACGGTGCCCTGCTCCTCCTTTTGATACTTTTGGAGCAGAAATGGCACCAACTTCCATAACTTGGGATTTAGGAGCACATCTTGCAGGATGGGAGAGAAGTTACTGACCCGCCAGGATCCTGAACCCTCCCAGGACTGACTCCTTTGACTGGAAGCCCTGAGCGCAGCAAGAACTTGTTGCTGAGGACTCAGAAGCCTTCAAATCTCCACTGCTGGAAAACAGAGAGCAGTAGTAAATTCAGCTGCTCCAAGAATTCAAGTCCACATTTTGAAAACTCACAACTAAGAATTTTCACTGCACAGTGCAAGGCTGGCAACAGAGGCAGGAATGGGTTATTTTCAGAGTCTCAACCTGGAATGTGGCCTCCTCTGTCACCCTTAGCCCTCTTCAAATTCTTGAAATCAGACCTGCAAGAAGACTGAAGGGGTTCAAGTGATGACAGCGTGTGAGGCTCCTACCCAGTTTGCCCCCTTCTTTAAATCCATGCATTGAAAACCTGAAAGATGGATGAATTTTTAATTTTTTTCAGTACTGGGGACTGAACTCAGCCCCTTTCATTTTTTTGTTGTGTTTTTGAGACAGGGTGTGGCCAGGCTGGCCTCCAACTTGTCATCTTGAAGCCTCGGCTGCCCCGGTCACTGGGGTCGCAGGTGTGTGCTCTGGTGCCCCACTGAAATGATTTAAAGAGGCAAAGCATTCTCTTCAGTCTCCAGGCCGAGACCCCTTCTTTTCTTTTTGTAATGCTGTTGACATGTTACTCCAACAGCCACAAGGCTGAGTTCTGTTCTGATTCAGGCACACTGAGGACTGTTCCTGCCTTGGAGCAGAAAATGAGATTTTATTACGCTTAAAGCATGATGAAATTACTGAAGGTGTCATCATCAAAAGGCGCAAATCCCAAGGAGGATATTAAGAACTTAGCGTTTTCAGTTCAAGTTGGAATATGAATTGCATTTACTGAAGAGACTCAGTTTTGATAGAGTTGAGAAGAAAATATTTCCAAGTAATCCTTAAAAATAATACTCATAGTATTTTCCTTGACCCTTTGGACCTGGCTCCCCAAACATGGTCCGTCTGTGAGTTTGTCTGCAGAGGACACTGCAGCCTATCGTATTAACTCTTAGAGAAAATTAAGAAATATTTATTCACGCTCCACTTTATGGAAATCACCATGCTTCTAGCTTACAAGAATGCATATATATATATATATATATATATCCATAATTAGTGCACATTATAATACCAAAATGTGACTACCTTAAGTAGTATCTGTGCTAGTTTACTTGGACTGCCTTAATAGAATGCCATAGGCAGGTATCTTAGACAACAGAAATTCTCTCATCGTCCTGGAACGCAGAAGTTGCAGGTGTGGGGCAGGCAAGTCCACTTCTGGTGAGCTCTGTTCCTAGCTTGCTGTGTCCACACTGGAGGGCAGGCAGAGTCCCCACGATGAGGCCAGCAGTCCTGCCTGAGAGCCCCACTCTTACGACCTCATTTGACCCTGTCTCTGGTTAAGGCCTGCTCCAGATAGTCACATTAGGGGTTAGAGCTGTAGCATATGAATTTGAAGAGATACAATCAGTCCATAGCAGTATTGTTTTTGTTTGAATATAGTGTTTGTGTTGGGTGTCTTGGGAAGTTCTGTAGGAGATTACTAAGGTCATTTCCCTGGCCCAGCACTTCAAAGTGCCCGAAAGCTTCAGAACCACAGGTTTACATGTTACCAGAGCCTCAGGAAGACTGGAAAATATTCCATGACATCATGCAGGTCAAACCTCTTATTATATGACCATATTGAAACCCAGTTGATTATAAAGATTAAACAGAAGTTTTAGTCTTTGGCAAAGACAGGTAATTTGGGCAGAAGACATTAAATAAACATAACACTTATTTGAAACTCCATCCTGAAAGAGATAAATAGTATTACGAAAATTTTAATCTTTATGTAGAACCCTGAAGTCCAATACTAATATAATGCAAAACCATATATGTAATTTTAAAATCTCTATTAGCCATATTAAAAACATAAAAATAAACTAATTTTAGTTCAATAATGGATCTTATTAAGCTGAATACATTAAAATATGTCACCATATAATCAAATAAGAATGTTACTGGGACTTTTGTATTTGCTTTATACAGTTTTTGAAACTAATATGCGGTATATTTTAAATTCAGAGAACAAGTCAAACTAGCCATATTCCAAGCGCTCAGCAGCCACACATCCTTGGCTGCCCTGCTGGGTAGCTCAGGGGCAGGGGAGCTGCATGGCTGGAACAACACCACACCACACTAACAACCCTCAGAAAGGAGAACATGAACAGAACAGTATTAGTG